GATCCGCCCTCTTCATAGACACCGCCCGTCGCGGTGTCCTCCAAGGCGGCCGCTCCCAAGTCGGGATCGTCCACATCGCTCACCGCCCGGTCCAGCTGGTAATCACCACCTGCCCCTACGATGGCGGCCATCGCGTCCGACATGTAGACCTGTTTCAAGTAGCATGAGGCCGACTGCTCAATACCACCAGATGGAATCAAGATGAAGCATTAAAGAAAGGAGAGGCCGAAGGACTTACGGCAGGTGGCGGGTCTGCGCGAGAGTACGACAGCTTGCCGAACTGCCAGGACCCCTCCAGCTTGAAGCCGGAGATTTCGTTCACCAAGTTGGCCACCTCAGCAGCCGACATCTCCTTGGTGCTCAGCCGGCATGGGTCGCGATGCTCGCTCATCCGGCTGATCAGGTGAGGCCGACCTTGGAGCGGAAGAACCCGGCGCGCGACGAAGGCAACCAACAAATCGGTTGCCTTGAGGCCCTCGGTGTTGGTCAACTCCCGTAGTCGTTGGATGGCGGCAGCGCTATCCGCCAACACCGGCTTCAGCTTGTAGCCCCAACTGGCCCGAGGCTCACCTGGTGGGCCGGCTGCATAAGCCGGCAGGTTAAGGAAGTCGACGGCCGGGTCCATGTTCTCCACGTAGAAGTAAGATTGCTGCCACACCTTGACCGACTGTAGCAGCTTGATGGTGGGGAAGGCGTTCTTCGGCGAAGGCCGGCGAACCGCGATGAAGGCACCGCACTGGGCAGCCACCTCCCGGATGGAGGTGCCCAGCTTGGCGTAGAAGAAGGCTCCCCACAGCTTGATGGTGGGGAGGATGCCGAGGTAGCCTTTGCACAACGTGATGAAGGCGGCCAGGAGCATCACCATGTTGGGCGTAAGGTGTTGAGGTTTAAGGTGATAGAACTTGAGGAACGAGCGGAGGAAGACGCTCGCTGGCAGGCCGAAGCCGCGAATGAAGTGCGAGCGAAAGACAACCTGCTCACCCTCCCTCGACGCCGGCAAGATCTCTCCCTCCTGCGGCACACGTGCTTTCACGAAGCCCGCGCTGGGGAGACGCCGCGTGTCGTGGAGGAAAGCAATGTGGTCTTCATGGACGTTCGATCCGTCCCAGTCCCCTCCATGCTCGTGTGCCATGGAGGGCTCGACGAAGAATAACAGCGCCACGGAAGAACTGGGATTGAGGCGGGGCCAAAACGGCTCGGCGACTAGCGGCGGTGGTGTTCCGATGGAGCTCGGGGGCGCTGCGACGAGATGAAGAAGAGCGAGAGAAATTGGGGTGGAGGGGCGCACGTGCTTCGCCGCTCCCTTTCCTCTTCCTACTTATAGCCTACGGGCTATGAAGCCGAGGGGGCGGGCGTGGGATCGTGGGATTAACTATGCCCACGACCCCATGCTCCTGCCTTTACCGCGCGAGTTACTGCATGCAGTAACTCTGCGGGGAAACCCAACCGCCCACCTCGGCCGCAGCGGATCCGCTCGCGTGCCGAGGCCCGGTGGTGGCGGGCCCAGCCTGCAGCCACGTCTCGTCATGCGCATGGGTTGGCAGGCTGACCCGGCTGGCTGCCGCCATGTGGCACGCCCATGACGGGCGCCAAGCCCAGAAGCTTAGCACACACGCTGCCTAGTTCCCGCCGTTATGTTCGAAATTCCAGATGAATCCGACTGGACATGGCCGGCTCCCTTAGGCAGCTTGCCAGGAGTCGGATGAAGCTTCTTTCCAAAGCACCGGGAGGAGGAAACTGTTGAGGCTCCTCGGCTCTTCAGCCGCGGCCCCTCACCAGCTTCGGGGACTACTGTCGAAGTAATGGGCCACCGGTAGCATAACCCGAGTCCCAGAACCTTTTAAAGCATCGGGGCCAGCTGCGCCCCTCAAGGCATCAAGACAAAGCGCCACCTTCTGGTGGGTGGCTGGCCGAACGCCGACTGCCGGAAGACAGCCATGCTCAAGAAGGCGGCTCCAAGACAGGCCGACTCCTGGCAGGCGGCCTCCAGAGAGGCCGGCTCCTAGCAGTCGGCCCATGGCTCCCTCAGAGTTTGCGCCCCCATTAAAGAAGACAAGACCGGGTAAGGCCACAGTGTAGCCCATCACCCCCGTGTTCAGGGCCAAGCGTGGCCATAGTGCTCCATACAGGCGGACATCTCCGCCCGACGCGGCACTGTTGCCACTCCGCCCCTGACATCACTCCTGTCAGGCGAGGCCTTGCTCACACAACCGCCTGTCGGTACGGCCAGAAGACGGCGGGCCCTACCGGGCAACAGAGACCGGAAGACGGCGGAGGCCCGACCAGTCGGACCCAAGGGATGCCGGCTCCTAGCAGGTGGCCCGATCCCTCCTCGGGGCCCGTGCACCATTAACTAGATAAGACCCAGAGTGGCTACAGTAATCTCCCACCAGGCGGCGGGACTGTAGCCACGCTCCCCTGACCGAGCATGCGTCATTAGCATCACGGCTACAGTAATCAGCAGCCGGCAGGACCCGTGAGTGGCGGAGGCGGCATGTCCGCTCTGTACCAGACCAGTCGGCGGGGCCCGCCAGGCGGCGGGCCCCCGCAGCCGGTGGAGAAGCTGGCGACCAGAGAGACTGAAAGCCGGGTCCAACACCCGGCCGGATTACCATTGTACCCCTGGGGGTAGGCCTATATAAACCCCCCAGGACACCCATGCAAAGGGTTCCAACCTATGAGAATTAGACCAGCACCTAGGGAGAGAAGAGAGCAAGCCTTGCCTCCTCCTACCTCTAGCATACAGCTCAAGGAGGACCATTGTACTCACTAGTGCCTTAGTGATCATGCGGGGACCCCATAGAGCAGGACTAGGGGTGTTATCTCCAAGGAGAGCCCCAAACCTGGGTAAAGCACGCCGACGTTCGTGTCTACGCCTTATCCCGCTTCCAGGCACCGGCGACGTTCTACTCGCTCCCACCATGATAAGCCATCCATTGGCATATGTCGCACCCAACCCCCGACAATTAAGATGCTTAAAGAAGTTATTTTTCCGAGGTTTGGAGTCCCTGGGTACTTAATGACTGATGGTGGTTCACATTTTATTCATGGTGCTTTTCATAAAATGCTTGCTAAGTATGATGTCAATCATAGAATTGCATCTCCATACCACCCACAGTCTAGTGGTCAAGTAGAACTGAGTAATAGAGAGATTAAATTAATTTTGCAAAAGACTGTTAATAGATCTAGAAAGAATTGGTCCAAGAAACTGGATGATGCACTATGGGCCTATAGAACTGCATATAAAAATCCTATGGGTATGTCTCCGTATAAAATGGTTTATGGAAAAGCATGTCACTTACCTCTCGAACTAGAACATAAGGCATATTGGGCCATTAAAGAGCTCAATTATGATTTCAAACTTGCCGGTGAGAAGAGACTATTTCACATTAGCTCACTTGATGAGTGGAGAACCCAGGCTTATGAGAATGCCAAACTGTTTAAAGAAAAGGTTAAAAGATGGCATGACAAAAGGATACAAAAGCGTGAGTTTAACGTAGGTGATTATGTGTTGCTATTCAACTCTCGTTTAAGATTTTTTGTAGGAAAACTTCTCTCTAAATTGGAAGGTCATTATGTTATCGAGGAGGTCTATCGTTCCGGTGCCATAAAAATCAACAACTTCGAAGGCACAAACCCAAGGGTGGTGAACGGTCAAAGAATCAAACATTATATCTCAGGTAATCCAATAAATGTTGAAACTAATGTTATTGAGACCGTAACCCCGGAGGAATATATAAGGGATACTTTCCAGAACGTTTCAGACTCCGAAAAGGAATAGGTATGTGGTACGGTAAGTAAACTGACTCCAAAACAGTTCTAATGGTAATTATTCTCCGTTTTGGGATATTTAAGAAAATAGGAAAATAAGAAGTAGTCCGGGAAGGACACGAGGCGTCCATGAGGGTGGAGGGTGTGCCCTACTCCCCTGGGTGCGCCCCCTGCCTTGTGGGCACCTGGTGTGCTCTCCAGACTCCGTTTTCTTGCATGATACTTCTTTTGGTCGGTAAAAATTCATTATATAATCTCCCGAAGGTTTTGACCACCGTATCACGCAAATATCCTTTGTTTTTGTTTCGATCTGTTTTCTGCCAGAGTTGTCAAGGCCAGGCATCATGTCGTCACCCTCCTCCAACAATGAAGGCAACAATGCTTGGCTATAATGAAGATAGAGCTGAAGAGAGAAGAACCCGAGGAGATCAACAAGGATGATAGGATCAAGAAGGCCATAGAGGATCAAGCTCCGGCAGCAAAAGAAGAAGACATCCTTCTATCTCTTTTGTTCACAAAACTGAGCATATATGCATATATAATACTATAGGGGACTAATTAATTATGAAAGCTACTGAAATACCACAGAAAAGATGAAGGACGTTGCATAGGTGATCATGATTGAGACTATGCAAGAGATTCATGTGGAAACACTAAAATAATGATTGATAATTGGTACCTCAGCTGGAGTTCGAGTGGACGGTGTTCCGGTGAAGTAGGCGAGATTGGAACCTCGGCTGGAACTCAAATCATCTCTAGAATGAACATATTCTCAGCAGATAAAACAAATTCAGCTTCCAACATGGCATCATCCCAGTTGGGATAAGTTGGTAATTGCATTGTGGACACTACAGGCTGCAGTCAGTTTATACGACCAAAATAAAACTTGCAAAATATTTAGAAAATGAACTTCTTCAACATAAAATGAAATAAGTCACTACCTAGATGGCTGTCAGGTGATATAATTAACTAATGACTTCAACCAGTTAGGATAAGTTGCTGACAGCATTTTCGACACTACAGGCAGTTAGTTTGTATCACCGAACAAAACTACCACAATATGACAATTGACAAACAGGCTTCTTCCACAATTGACTGTCCAGTGCTATAATTCACCATGTTACCAGCATAATGATCATTTAACAAAAGTACAGGAAGGTATTCAGTCAAAAAAAGTATAGGTAGGTAATATAACTTGATGTCACAGATCTCCTTATAGCTAGGTGTGGTCAGCTTGAGGGTGCGGAAGCAGATTCCATAGAGCGCCTCGTTGTCCAGCACCATGCACTCATCAGAGTTCTCAACCAGCTAGTGAACCGGGAGGGTGGCATTGTAGGGCTCGACCACTGTGTCAGAGCCTTGCGAGATGGGAAAACAGAGAAGGTGAGCATCATCTGGTCCGGGTACTCCTCCCTGATCCTGGAACTCAGTTGCGTGCCCATGCCCGAACCGGTGCCCCCGCCGATGGAGTGGCACACCTGGAAGCCTAACGAAAAGCACATGAACAAAAGTCAGAATCGCTAGCCGGAATCTGCGGAACGGAGTAACTAGAGCGACTCCTGAAGAAAGGGGAAAGTACCTTGGAGGCAGTCGCAGTTCTCGGCCTCCTTGTGGACGACGTTGAGGATGGAGCTCATCTCGGTGTAGTGGCCCTTGGCCCACTTGTTTCCGGCGCCGGACTGGCCGAAGACAAAGTTGTCGGGGCAGAAGATCTGTCTATAGGGCCCAATGCGCACGGAGTCCATGGTGTCGGGCTGGTAGTGGATGACGACGGAGTCAGGTCATGGCGAGAGAGGGGTCGCAGGAAGGTGCGGCATCGGCGTCGAGTGTCGCCGGTGGCGGAAAGCCACAGGGGTGAGGAAGGTGCACGGCGGAGGAGGCCGTCTGCGATGGCGCGTTGTAGGTGGAGATGGAAGGCAAGGTCGTCGTGTGGATATTTTTTCTTTTCTCTCGCCTGTACGGAGCAACCATTGCACCGCCCCGGAGAACGTCGACGCCTTGTCCCGCTACCACTCACCTAGATCCGGACGCCGCCATCCTTCCGCGTGTGCATCCCGTCCGCCGCCGCCCTGTGCAGAGCTCACTCGATCGGATCGAGCCGGAGAGTCGCCTGCCGCCCCACATGCTCGTCCACTCGCCTCGTTCCAGAGATAGGTGGAGACGTGCCGGCGACTGGCAGCGCGTGGTGAGGCGGGGCGGGGCAGGACGTAGCGGCGGGTTGGAGGTGGGATCGGGAGGCACGGGCGGGTGGGTAGTTTTTTTTCCTCTCGCACATACCAGTTCGTGCTTGACTTATTACGGGCACTGTGGGTTGAATATAAAAAATCACAGGGTCCTTTGTGTAAAAACTCCGCAACGGTGAACCTGACGGACTCAATCCGTGCTTTATTATTAATAATAAAGAAAAGATTAATTCACCTATCTTCCATTCTTCTCCAGCTCTTTCTTTAGAACAAATTTTAAGAGGATTCATAAACTTTATACCTTTTGATTGCATACTATCAATTATGTCATTCACATTTACTCTATATTTGGAGCTACTTCTATTAGTGAGCCTTCCTATAAATTCTATGCTTACTAGCAAATTTGTTCCTTTAAAATCTTCATAACCTTTAGTTTGAAAACCAAAACTCATTTTTTCAATAAATTCTTTTATGGGCATCATTAGGTCTGGAGCTATATAGGTTATTAATCTATTTTCATTCATGTCTCCTTCCAAAAATTCTAATGCTGCTTTGTCTACAGATTCCCATCTTCTGTCTAATAAGGTTATCAAAACCTTCGCACCTAATTTCTTCCTTGTCATACCTTTGACTTCTATGATATACATGCCTTGATGAATATATTTATAACCACAATATTTTAGTTCATTTTCAATATTTTTGCTTATAATTCTTAAATCTACCGGATGTGTTAACACACTTAATTCTACTTCTCTGGATATTCTGTATAGACCACTTTTACTCTCAAACATACCCATATGATATACTTGTTGCGGCTTTATTTTTCTTAGGGTATCTTTCTGATATCTTTCTAGACCTCTTTGTATCTATACCTATACTAATTACAGACTCCCTAGAAATTACCACGTTAATTAGATTTTACGAGGCGTTAATCTGGTGGGGCCATATTTTTACGGTGTAGACGGACTCTCAGAGAAAAAAATCAACAGAAAAATAACTCACATATATCTCTCTCATGACCTTAGTCTCTCAAGCTCTCATGTCTCACCTTTTAACTCTCCAATGAGAAATAAAAAGGATGCCTCACGTATTCTTCCCGTTCCTTTTGTATCTATGAAGATTTTTCCCTATTATGGGCCAACCTGGACTCTTGCATGCATATCTCTGAAATAAAATTAATTCTAAAAATAGTTACCAGTGAAAATAACTCGCATGGGAAAGAAAGGCAATCACATTAAAAAGGCAATCACCTTAAAAAGGATTCCTGGCGGAATCCTCTCCCTTTCCTTCTTATTAATTATTCCTTTATGATTTTTTTTCCTATTATGTGTCAACCTGCACTCTTGGATGCGTATATCTGAAATAAAAACAATTTAAAAAATAGTACTAGCGAAAATTACTCGCACGGCAAAGAAAGGCAATCACGTTAAAAAGGATTCCTAGCGGAATCCTCTCCCTTTCCTTCTTTATTAATTATTCCTTTAAGATTTTTTTCCTATTATGTGTCAAGCTGGACTCATGGATGCGTATCCACGTATTTTGTCAGCATGGTGGAGAAGATCAAATTGTAGAATAATTTTACACCCTGGCCGCTACAAGATGCATATTCGCGAGGCGATCTCCTATGGAAAAACCTAGCCGAATTGGTTTTGAGATTGTATTCAAACGCAACTCCATAGACCAAAACACAATGGAGCCTATATCAAGATCGGTTGAGTTGTTCCCATATCTCTCCTTGGTGCACCACCGAGATCCATGCTGTGACGGAACACTAGCCGCCAATCTCCGTCCTAGCCGCAATAGGCTTCGCTGCCACCGGAGGTCCGATCATTCATGACTTACGTCTTGGAGGAAACAGGCTTCGCTGCCCCCGAATTCCTAATAGCCCCGTCTAGGCCGGGAGCCTCTGAAGGAATCAACACCCTTTCTTCACACGAGACACGAATCGGGATCAGCCCTGCCACTAAACACGGGCTAAGTAGGAATTGCCGTTTTGTCTGTGTGTGCGGCATACTGGCATGTACTGTAGGTGTGTATGGCTCTCTCCTCTAATTTCTAATTTCTACTCAGATGAGTTTTGCTAGGTGACTGGAGCATGCACGCTAGGTGCTCTGGTCATGATGTGGTGGAGTTGCTTCCGTCTCCTCCATGGCTTTCAAACACCCATCTCCTGCATCTGACTGTAGCTATCAGTTGCATTCGTTAGGTTGATAAGAGATCATATAGTCAAAACCAGATAGTCGATGTAAGATGCTTGCGGATGTGTTGCTATTTGACTGCACACCTTGTGTGTATGTGTTGTTTTCCCATTTATGTGTCATAATAAATAACATAAAAGAGTGGACAAAAAAGAAGGATTGACCATCCCAGAGAGAATTTACTAACCCTTATTTCTTATCATATATGTGGATTGTAAGTAAACATCGTTTTCCATCTACATATTTAATTGTGCAATCTACATCATATCACCTTGACATTTATAGTTAATCTACTCAACTTTGAAAACTACCAATATTTATGTGAGAAATATCATGTCGCTTTGAATCTCATAGTAGATTTTGATTCACTTAGATTTATTTTCTGGTATTTTCTCTTTTGGATTTGGAATCCACCTTCCAAGGGAAGCTAATTAATATACTAATTTTTTTATGCAAAGGGTCACAGGTTGTACAGACTTGCAGTCCTAATTCAATGAGTGTGTGTTTGAACCATTTTTCTCATAATGTTGTAAGATGGAACATCAAAGAGCTGCCAACAACAAAATATGGATTATCAAAGAGTGGATAGCAAGTATACTTTTTTTCAAAGGGTCACAGTTGTTCGCCTTCATATATGAGGGTAGTATAAGTATACTTTGTTGCACCTTGAGGTTTCCCATATATATTCAATTGTTGTTCTTCTCAACCTTTTCAGTTGGATGAACCTAGGCAATCTTTCCATCCACATATTTACGACGAACGCGATCAATGATGACACCTAGTATCCTACATGTCCATTTCCATGCATTTAGATTAAAACGGATTTGGAGGACGAGGGAACATCCTATATTATTTGTGTTGATGCAAAGGACGACAAGTTCTGCAGGCTTGCTATCCTATTAGACTTCACGATTGCATGCTTGTTTTGTTTTTTGCATCCTAAGATGGATTATCCAAGAGTTGCCCAAAAAGATGGATTATATAGGAGAGGATGTCCTCACAGTTATTCGCCTTTATATATCTGGGTCATGAGTGAACTATTTATCCCATCTAATTTTATAATTGTACGATGTAAGATGCTGCCTTTTGAGAGCTCCTATAGATATCTCGCCAGTGTTATTCATTGAGATTTCTAACCACTCTTGCAGGAATTTCTTGATGTAAAAAACAAGACATGTAGGACTCCTTGGCATGGCTACTCATATCAAGAAAATAGATCGTGCTGGAACTACTTCTTAACAAGTTATAAGGATAAGTGGGGGAGCATGACAGGTTAGGTGGAGATTAACCTAATTTGAAAATAGGACATGTAACACGAGTTAGTATAATGTTGATCTTGATGCCATCAAGAATTGTGTCAACATATAGGAATGTGAATACCATGATAGCACAAAACCATTGTTTAGATTCGGATAAAATAAGAAACTATGCATGAAATTTTCTTGCAAACTTAGTTGGTTAAGATTAGCAAGTAAAATTAGTTGTGTGAATATGTCTCAATATCCATTGATATATATGAATTTATTAGTTTTCCATTACCGGCATTGGAAATTTTAAAGTGTTTTTTTGTTTAGCTGATATACAAATAGATCAGACAGTTCATATCAAAGCTGGCTGAATAATATACTGTAGAATAACCATTGGTTTTTTTACATACTACTTTGGTAGTGTTTTGACATACAAAATAAAATCATTTTTGGTATATGTGTGTTATGCCATTGGGTTTTAATAATTCAGTTTGTTTAGAAACAATGTATATACTAGCCCGTGTGAATGCACGGGTTGGCGGTTAGTATCTATAACTTCTTCAATACTATCAATATCATCAGCTTTGCATGATAATCTATGCTTCATCGCTAGCGGTCTTGAATATTGCCTTACTAATTGGAGGGTTTTATTTCTTCTAAGGAAGCCTTTAGATACATCCATTTTTCTGAATTAATATTTCTAGCAAAGGCAACTATTTCGGATGATGAAAGCACAATTTCTTTGTTGCTTTGAACACTATTTAGTTTATTTGAAATTTGGATTAATAGATGGAGGATGGTGTTATTTTGTCTTATTATTACTTTGGAATCTTCTTTTGGGGAGTCGTGATTGCAGAATCCGATAGGAGGTGACAGGTATTCAGCTACTTCATTTATTGCTTGAGTATATTCAGTCATATAATTATGAGATAATCAAAGTTTTAACCTCTTGCACCAACTTTTTTATTTCAAGTATATCTTGTCTTGATTCAGTGCGTGGGAGTGACTCTTTGCCTTTACTTAGGCAACGGCCTATTGATAACACCTCCTCTTTAATATAATCGCTATTCTTGCAAACTGTATTCTGTCTAGATTTTGCTTCCTCTAGCTTATGTAA